GGAGCCCGATGCGGGACTCGATCCAGGGACTCCAGGATCATGACCTGAGCCGAAGGCAGTCGCTTAACCAACTGAGCCACCCAGGCGCCCTTAAGTTCTTTCTTATAACCTGAAAGAAAAGCAGGGACATTTATCGCAGGACTATTTCCCATCTACAGTCAAGGTTAGGCGCCACTAAGAAATGGTTCTGTTTGCAATTGTTTTTATTTGGCATTTGTACTTCTGTCTGTAGAATGAAGATGATGCTAAAATATTAACAGTAGAGAAAAAAATAAGTAGAGGAAGCTGGTGGTAACCACTCCAGGATGTAGCCACTTAATTTAGGAAAGAGACAGGAAAAAGAGGTTTAGAAACATTTTGAAAAAAGAGCTGTCAGGCACCAAATTACATCCTTAAACAATGCAGAAAATGCTCAGCGCCCTGAAAGTATTTAGGAGTGACTTTTTCGGCCTCTTTGGAAGGAAAAGTGGGGATAAAATGCCTATCAGCAGGGTAAAAAGTTCATGTTTGTCATCTGTAGAAAAAATAATAATAATAAGCCACTGAATCAGTATTCAACTTGTACAGAAACTTCTCTCTTATCTCTTATCTCTTGATGTCCATCGCACCTGCATGCCATGACCCTAAAGCTAAGAGATGTCAGTGACCTTACTTACTAAAATCACTGACCGGGACAGCCCCTCTTTTGTGTACCCAATTTACAAGACACTTGCAGTCTGGAAATTATAATGGGTGGCAGCTTATATAAAGGGCAGGCAAGTGAGTAGAAGAAAGGATGGGCAAACAGTACAGAACTGTGTTCTAAGCAATCAAAATGAGCTCTACAGGCATCAAGCCCAAGCCCAGGATTTCTGGGGAATACCTACCCTTTCTTTGGTTCTGTAGCAATTTAAACTCTCTATTCTGACACCTATAGACCAATTGGTAAGTTTAACTACCAACACAACCTACACACAATGATGGAGGGAAAGAATACCAAAGAAAAGAAAAATTAGTTACAGACATAAATATACGGAATAGTTGGATAATAAGCTAAAACATTACCCTACACATTTTTCTTCTGAGAAAATATTCAATCTAGTAAATCTTCCATCACTCTATTTATTCCAAGAATCTAAGGCTTAATGCTCAAGGGAAGAAAAATGAAAATATTGAAAGATCAAAGAGTAAAACGTGTGGCTTTTGAGGTCTCGAGTAGACATAGACCATAGTCTTCAAAGCCAAAAAACTGTAAGATCTCTGCGTCTGGGAGAGGAAAATATTTTAAAATATTCAAAAACTTGGTTTGGAAAATTGAAAGACACACTGCAATAAAAGGGCAACCGGCTTATTCAGGAATAACACATTGGAATAAGAATTGTAATAATGTTGAATTAGTTCCTACCCAAAGAAGTAAAAAGTCTGAAGAACTTGCATAGTGGCTTGTTGCAAGGGCCAACACCACCCTTCTCCCCAGGGGGTGAGTCGCCTATTTGATGGGTGGGGTGGTATGTGGAAATATTTGGTAATAGAAACTCAAGACAGGTTTAGAATTACCAGAGCAGAGGAGATGATGTTTAAGGTTTCCAGAATGTAGCTCCCGATCTTGCAAACCTTGTAAGGGAGTTATATGTCCCCATTCGGACCTGAGTTGTAGAGTAGCAGCGGCTGGGGGAAGGGTCTGGGGAGGTGAACCCGCGGATTGGCTCACTGATTGACACACTAGACTAGAGTATCTGTGAGTCTCTACTGTCACACCGCAGGGATCAGAGAGACCTGAGAATGAACCAAAGGACCCAGTGGAATCCAAGCTGGGATGGAGAGGTTGCCAATGGTATCAGAAACAGCTAGCTGCCTACTAAAAAGCTTGTTTCCCTACGGAGAGGTGATGTTCCAGCCGCTGGCCGCATTTCCCAGCGTCTCTGGCATATATATATATGGCAATATGTCTAGATATTGCCAATGGAATATGAGCAAAAATGATTAAAAAGAAGGAGTGCGCTCCCCATACACTTTCCCCTTCTTCTGGCTGAAAGAAAAGACTCCAAGGTCCTAGGGTCCTGGTTTCTGCATCCAGTTTGCCAACCATAATGAATTCACAAGGCATACCTAGAATATATTAAATATTCACAGGAAATAGTAATATCAGTAGAACACACCATAATGAACTTTGAAGGGTGTATTTGGGATATCATAGATTTTTGAAGAAAACATAGTGCCATCCCAGGACACTGAACAAACTGCTATTATTAAATTGTTTGGCCCTAACTACTAAATAAAAGGAATCATCAGATATTACTTTTGGTCTGCAGCCCCAAGAATATATTACTGAGACTCTAAGGACACCGTTTACCAAGAAAATTTGGGGAACCTCTGCCTTAGGGAATGCTGGAACCACAAGATGTAAGGAGGTGGGGTTTCTAAATTTCTAAATGAAGGAAAGCCACATACATATTATGAACTCCCACATCGAACAGAGATATGAGCCGGACATAAACTTCTGTTGTATTAACCCACAGAATTTTTGGAGTTTGTCATAGTAGCTAGTATGACCCTAACTAAAAAAAAAAAAAAAAAAGTATCTAGACCCAAGGCCAAGAACCACAGATAAAAGACCAGAAGAGATAAACCACATGTCAGTGGAGACCACCAAGCAAGAGGATGACTCACAGAGTAGATGCCTCTTATCCAGTACCAGGTCAATATATAAGCCCCCTGAAACCAAGATCAATGTCAAGGAAATGGGAGAAGGATATGGAGGAGGCAAAGGATACTAAGGACTTAGCCCAAATGAGACTGAGTAATCTAAAATTTGACATCCTAAAGTCTCTACCATCGGTGGATAAGTGTTTGAATGCTAAGTATACCTTTTGAAAAAGAAATAAATTGACACTATGTACATTTTGTTCTGGAACTGTAACATTTTGAATCCATCATAGATATGTTACAGCAAGAAAAGAAATACAGAGGTCACTGTCTCTGTTTCTATAACTGGTCACCCAGCTATAGCCTGGGGCCAACATCTCAGCTGGCTGGGGTTGTGTATCTGTTGGGCTGAAGAGCTTTAGTCCCTGGTGGTGCTGCCTAGGTGAGGGGACAGCACATTCATTAATCATTTTGGTAGGCCATGGTGAGACCAGAAACTTCCCTGAGCTCCTTCTACCACTCCCTCCTACTACTGTGTAGCTGTATTTCCATTCCGTTGTCAAGCTCAATCACTCTAACCAGCACTATAATCCTATTCATGCCCATTTTTTTTCCCCAAAGAAGTCCAGTGAAGACCAGGCAGCAATTTCAAATTCCAATTCAATGAAACTACTATTGTGTCTCTTGGTGGAAACATGCTTCTTCCCTTGCTCACTGAAACTTCTAAACCAGGAGAGTCCAGATCCATGAAAAAGTAGTATCAGGAATAAGGTAATGAATGGATGGGAAGTAGCCCCAAACCACACATGTCTACTAGAAAAGTGATAAAACCATTTCATAGTCCACATCTTCTGTGGTCCTCCTCCCCTCAGCTTTGGTGTGAGTTTTGCTGCTCATTTCCCTCCCAGATATGTAAACCATGCCAATTTAAAGAAGGCAAGATTTATCATCATCCAATCCAGTGATTCTCAACTGAGGACAATTTTGCCCCTTAGGGGAACATTGGGTAGTGTCTGAAGTCATTTAAAATAGTCACAACTTGGAGGGAGGGGTGATAACTGGCGTTTAGTGGATACCGGCCAGTGGATGCACAGGACAACCCCCCACAACAAAGAATTGTATGGGCCAAAACGTCACAATGCTGAGAGTGAGAAACCCTGATCAAATGAATTTGTCTTTTTGCATAATTTGCTTCCCCCACTAGAATGCAAGCTTTGTGAGAGCAGGGGCTTGTCCATCTTGTTTATTACTCTATGTCTGGAACATGGAAGTCAACAAATATTTGATGACTACATAAGAGATGAATGAGTGCCTCATAGCTCACATCAGGTATTTTTATATATGTGCTCACACCCAAACACTTGGCTCCTTGGATTGGAAGGGTTAGTAATGGTACAAGGTTGCATGACTTAAATATCTGGGGTGGCACAACTTCTTTGAATGTCCTAATGTAGCTCTCTTCCCAACATGATTTTCCTTCACTTTAATTTTCTAACTTGAAGAAAAATGTGCAGTTTTTACAATGTCCTCAATTCCTTCATTCATTAAGTGATATTATCATCCAGACACTGTAATAGGTGTTGTCACCACACAAAATGATGACTTAGGACTTGTGTTCAACAATTTGCCCAGAGATTCGATGTTCTAGATTCTAGATGTAGATTCTAGATCGTTTCCAACAATTATAAATCTCTTTCCCCCCTCTAGGAAAAGTGCTTCTCGTCCTCCCTTTCCATCTCCCCTTGACACTTCAGTTAAGCTTGGAAGAAAGACCAGGAGAGAAGAATGGGGTGCCTAGCCCCCCAGCTCTGTAGTAGTGGCTGGTCCTGTCCTGGGTTCCCACACTGTACCTTCACCATAGCTCTATGACAGCACTAATGGGGCACCTGTTTATTTATATGGCTCTGTCCCTTCCCACCTGCGGGAGGTCATGCTCTTGATGGTCTTCATATCCCTGGCACCTGGCACACGAGATGGGCTCAATAAATGCTTACTGAGAAAATAAAATGCCTTTGGCCTACTTCACAATGTCACCTAGGGCACCCTCTGCCAACTTCACAATGTCACCCAAGGCATAGTTTTGCCTACTTCACAATGTCAACCTGCCCAGCACAGGAATGGGGACTTCCCAGGGGCTCAGAAATAGATCTAGTTTCAGCCCCGTCTGAATCACAGTCTAGTGGTGGCTCCAGCCAATGAAGAGAAAAGCAAAGGCTCGGAAGTCTTGGACTACAGCAAATGGATTTAGGTTACACAGCCTGAGATGGAGGAAGAGTAATCACTGAGGGATAAGGGACCCGTGAAGCCCACTGCACAATGGCCGAGAACCAGAGCTGCGCGTAGGCAGGGGCATGCATGTCACCGCTGCTCAGGGTGCCTCATCCCCGCCGCTACAGACAAGTGGCCCAGTGGCCGACGCTGGCGACAGAGGCTAGCGGTGTTGACGCGAACGGGTTTGCTCAAACCTGGGGCCGCAAACTGCCCGACGAGCGCGGAGAAAGTGGCACGCGACCTCGCCGGATCGCAGAGGCGCAGCTGGGGAACTTTCTCAGCCCAGCCCCCAGGGTGCTAGAGGGTCAGAAAGGACCCGCCTTGTCCAGCGGGGCGAAGGTTGTTCCCAAGGCCACGTGAGGCTTCCTCGCCCCTAAAAGCCCCAAACCCGCAGGGCTAATGGCAGAGTAAGGACGCCCGGACCTCGGAGACGCGGCGCCCCGCTGCCGGCTCGAGAGCCGCTCCAGCAACAGCTGCCTCGTCCAACCCAGGGGAGGTCGCGGCC